CCACGCCCCGCCACGCCCCGCCACGCCACGCCGAGGGCGCGATTTAATTGTGAGAGAACGATCCGTAATACCGTGGCGACGGGGTGGCGCCTCGCTCTCTCGCGATGAGATTGTGTGGGAGAGAGGGGCGGAGAGCGAGAGAGAGAGAGAGAGAGACGGGAGAGCAAAGCGCCTCCAGAGCGAGAAGATAGAATAGAGCGCGCTGGGGAGGATTATTGTGGCGCGGACTCAATGGGTGTCATTAGTCGATCCATTCAGGCGCCACGGCGCGTCACACAACCACCAACGTCGGGGATGGTCTAGCTAGGAGCGGCGCGGGGAGAGCTGCAGCGCAGTGCCCCTTTACCCTGGTCGTCATAACATCGGGGCGATGAGGCCCGCCGTGCGCACGACGGATGCTCCGCCATACGCCCCGCCACGCCGCGCCGAACTGACGCCTTCTCACACTCGATAATCTAAGCAGCGCAGCTCAACAGAGCCCCGCCGCGACATCGCCGTCGTCTGCTGGTAATTTATCAGAAGGCCCCTTAATGACGCGCCCAGTACGGCCGCTGACCCTCTCCAGACAGCATGAGCAGCGCGTGGAGCGTGTCTGGCCGCCGGCGCCACTTCAAATATTTTCATTGCACTGGTTTGTTTTAGGCGGCTGGCGGCGATGCCAGCGCGGTGCGGTGCCCGCTGTACACGGACCCGCCCCGGGGGGGCGCCGCACCGCCGCCGCCGGTCAGACACGCACGCTACTAGGATTAGGACCTCGGCAACAGCTGCGCCGCGCGACGCGATAGGCGGGGGGCAGCTGCGGCGGACCGAGCTGCAATCCGAAACCGGAATTGTAGCGGGAAACGGGGGGCTGTCGTGCTGCTGTGGTTCCGGCGGGTGAGGTACTATATAGTACGCACAGGACGCCACGCTACATGTGTCGCTCAATCTCTCGAACCGTGTCCGCACCATGTGCTCGTCTTCTTCCTCCCAAAATGCGACCCTCTGCCCTGCGACACCCAAAGCTCTCCTGCGGGGACTCGCCCACATTTGACGGTGGCGCGAAATTCATATACAACACAAAAGGGACGTAGTGTATGAAGAATTTTTCCCTCGCCTGAGCCAGGCGCACGTCTGACGTGGGCGAAGGTCTTCCCCTGCAAGGTCCAGGGGTGCGCCAATTTCGCGCCCGGTACCCTCATCAGGTGCTATTCACAGGCCAACGCCCGGCAGGCAGGAGGCAGGCCGGCCGGCGGGGCCACCCACGCCCAGCCACGGGCAGCGCGGATAAAAAGTGAATTTAGCACTTTCTACACGTCCAGGTGGAATGGGATGTGGGGCTGACGATTTCAACACAAAATAATAGCCAAAAAGCAAACCTCCGACCAAACCTGAAGCGCCGACTAGGTTCAGCCCCAGATGGTAGTGGCGTGAGCATCTTTGATTTATTTTTGAGAGAGAGAGCGCCAGGGAAAATTAACCCAACAATAAAACATCACGATGTACAGAGCAAGTTTTTGAGTAGTTTAATTCATCAAAATAGCAATTTCATTGAATATATAAATTAGGTACACTGAGGTATAGTATCTGTTAGAGCTGGTCAGGAGGTACAGTAATAAATATAACAATGACGGTGAGACAAACAGAAGTCATAATAAAGTTCAAAGAACTAAACGGGACGTAGAATAATTTTCAAAACGGAAATCCAGTAAGATATAGTTTGAAACAAATGTATGGCGCTCTTAGGTCGGCTCCCTTTCTGAAGTGTATACGTAACGACTAAGACGATCTTCTAGATATGCATTATTAGTATGATTACACGTGACTGTTGAACATTTTTTGAAATTCCACCCCTGTGTTTTTGTTTTTTTTACAAAAGCTCAATTCGAGAGCCATGCCTCGATGGTACTGACCTGAATTTCAAAGTGGTAGTCCAATGCAGGTATCCTTCAGGTCCGTCGTCTTATCCAGCACAACACACTCCCCTCACACACACACACAGACTGAAGAACACGGGAGCAAACACACTGCTCCAAATCACAAAAAAATAAAATCCGAGAAGAGCAGAAAATATATGATCAGCAGCAAAGCGCGGGGGAGGTCGTCGACGTCGTGTTTGTCAAACACCAATCACGCCGTCTTGTTTAACACACACACTTGCGCAGAGCGCGCGTCACTTTTTGGGGCGCAAGTTGGCGAGCCCCTCGCAAGCTTGAGCACACACACACGCGCGCGCGAATCAGAAGCGAAAACAATAATCCACTTTCCGACACGGGATCGACAACACAGGGGGCAGGCACTTCCGCGTCGTCGTCGTCGTGGTCCTCGTACGCCGACGTCAAGAGGATCGCGCGAGTGTCGAGCAGCGTTACGGCGGCGTCGGCACGTCCTCGCGCCGCGCTCGCTCCAGAGCAACTGAACTGACTCTGACTCACTCGCACAGGCTGCCAGCGCGGCCTGGCCGCAGCGAGCCGCCAGCGCGGCGGGCGGGCAGTGGAGGTGGAGGGGGTGGCGGGACGGCTCCCCGCCCGCGCCGCGCCGGCCGGGGGAGAGAGGGGCCCAAAGGATTAAACACCTTGGACGGCGAGGCGATGACCATCCGGACCCTGGTCCTCGACGGCGACCCTAGAGGTCGGCAAGAAACATGAGCTCGAACAGCAGTTGCAACTCATACTGTGAGTATGGGTGCATGGTTTGTTTTAGTTTTGGAACAGTCGTCAGCGATATCAAATGTATAAAATTAACGTTTCAAAACATTTTCCCGCATTTTCCAATATATCTTGAGTTTTCTAGTGTATTGGTGGGACTTCAATTGCCATAGAGCAACATGTTCGCATTTAACAAAGAATTACCGTAACGGGTTAGGCGGAAGCCGGCAAGATGCGTAAGACGCTCGGGGGCAGCACATCACCGTGTGTGTGTTCCGAGATGTATCCGAAGACTGCTGCCACAAGCAAACGACTTGTGGCACACGGTGCATTCAAAGGGCTTCTCTGCCGTGTGTGTTTTGATATGCTTTCTGAGATGACCGCTTTGAGAGAACGTCTTGTGGCACACGGCACACTCGAAGGGCTTCTCTCCCGTGTGTGTTTTGAGATGGGTCCTAAGGG